GTTCCTTCGCAGGCTCCCTATCCTGAGCACCTCGCTCGGCTCCATCTCCCCCAACCAAACTCCGGTCGAATGATCTCCCGCAAAGAGTAGGAGGGAGACGGAAGAGAGATCTTATAGAGTGACACAACCGTAGCGGTGCTTACTACTACTCTCCATGCTACAAACTGACATCCCAAGTAAAGGGACGAAGTTTCCAAGTGTGTGACCGGTCAGAGCTGACATCTTCCCTCTTCTTCTGCTCAGTTACCACAGATCAGCTCTGCCCGTGGAGACAACCAATGGAAGAAACAGAGGAGATAGACGGAAGGCTCTCGCTGCCATTCATGGTTTTTCAACGCCATCGCTCTCGATTCGCAGTCAAAAGGGAGGACGAGAGATAGCAATGGAGCTTCGGGCTCCATTGTGTTTTCATGCCACCAACCCCGAGAGCGTTCCACGGAGTCTATCGAGTGTGCAGTCTTCCATTGGACAGCGAGAAAGCAATCGCGCTTAGGAGTCGCCATCAGATGACTTTTATGCGCGATTTATAAAGCATATCAGGTACTCACCACCCGAACCATTCAACGGACGTGACGGTCTGGCGTTTGTCTTCTGTATGTATATGTATGTATGTATATATCGTCTCATATTATAATAAAAATAAATAAATTATTATAATATTTTTATTTAATTTAATTATAATATTTTTATTGAAGCTATTGAGATTCACAATAAGTAATATTATATTTTTATTGAGATTATGATACCAAATTTATGTTATTTATAATGTTTTAGAGTAAATTTCATAGTATTTTTATTACGATGATTTTTTATCTCATCGAGATCGTCGATAAGAGGTATTTTCAATATGATTCAAAAGAAAAGGTATAATTTGAAAAAAAAAATGAAAAAGAAAATAATTAGGAAATGCAATTTATTTGATACAACAATGAATAGTTGGGATCATCTTATCTTGGCATTTGACTAAACACTCTTTTCATTTAGTTGACGACACCCATGACATGTGAATGGATTCAGTCCAAGCAAATGTTGCGTGACAAACTCATGGGATGCGTATGTATGATTTGTTTGATGTTATTTAGAGAGGAGGAAGAAGAAGAAGAAGAAGAGCTACGGTGTCTCAAAAAATATATTATTGTGAATAGGTCATAAAATGTCTGATTTGTTTGATGTTATTTAGAGAGGAGGAAGAAGAAGAAGAAGAAGAAGAAGAGCTACGGTGTCTCAAGAAATATATTATTGTGAATAGGTCATAAAGAGTTGCTCTTCCCTATGCATCGACAGTTGTTGTTTATCTTCTTCTTTGTTATTGCTCATAACAATGCCACTTATTTCTTTGGCTTAGCGGCAATTCTGACCGGATTCGATCCGTTTTGTCTTTGGACAATCAAATCGGATCTCTGCCGTACCCCCAAAAAAAGGAGAATTATGATGAGTCAAATGTTGATCGTGTAGAAGAAGACAAAGAATCGAATCGATCGTATCCCATCATTTTGATATTTTATATCGAGATCGTCTACACCGATTTGTTGGATCTCCGAAATATATGGATATGTCAGTTCGGATTTTGGATCCGAATCGAAACTTTTTTATTTTTAATTTTCTTAAACTAAATGATCTTTGATCATTTATTTTTATTTTTAAGTTTTTTCAATTGATTAGGTTAATTGGTTCCGATTCCAAATCTAAAAATTGAATCATCAAGTTTTACTTTCGATTCGATTTGAAGTCGTTAGATCGTTGACCTGATTCAACTCCGATTCGATTCTAATTCAACTCTGATTCGATTCTAATTTGAATAAAACCATCATATAATATTATTTAATTTCATATTGGTTAAGGAGTATGTGAACTAACGGTTCATAAGTCTGTCATATCTCTTTTATCCTCAAAGATATTTTTTGGAGCTCTAATATTCTAAAAGAACAAAACCGTACAGGTACACCCATCGCCCAAGACGGATAATTCAAAACGAGCCTATAGACCACACAAATAGTTGTCCAGAGTACTGATAAGATAATTTAGTCCTACATTCAACGAGGAGTATGGAACCAAATACTCATAAAACTCCAATATTTCAAAAGAGCAAGATTTTACGAGTATTTCCTTTTTAGGTGCAAAGAAATCATTCTCTTTTGTAAATGAAGTAATATATATATATATATATATATATATATATATATATATATATATATATAATATCTAAATCAAATGAAAAATTGATTTAGATAGAAACGAATAAATTTAAATTTTTGTGTATACTAGATTAAAAAAATTGACATAATATAATAATAATAATTTTATTTTTTTCTTATTGGTAAAATCCATGGCATGGAAAAGAAAGAAAAGAAAAAGATAAAAAAAAAGTTTTATGGTAAAAAATTCATTGATCCCTCATCAATATGTATTTTTATTTATTTATTATTATTATTAATATTATTTGTAATCTGAGACGCCGTCGGTCAACAGCTACGCAAATGTCGCGGAATTGGATGGCCTAAGACAGTAAAGAAAGCAGTCTTTATTTGAAGGAGTCCAACCTCGACGGTCACACCATCTTTTTTTTATGGTTCGTCGGCGATAGACTTGGACGATGTGATGCCGAGAGAGGTGGCGGGCGTGATCGACTACAACGACGGCAGATGCTATCACTCACAACCCAACAATTCTTCCCGTCTCTTTCCCTCTGTGCATTTTTGTTAGTGGAGATGAAGACTACGTCTTAGTATTCTTACGATGGATGGGACCTACTTCTAGAACTATTTCTTGGTGGCCAATCGCCCCACCCTTCAATATTATTGATCTTTATTATTATTATTTTTTTGCTTGTGCGAATTGTCCGTATTCATCTCTCTTTGGCTCCACCTAATATGGATATGTCAATATATTGCTCATCTAGTAATGATGTGTCGATCATTTGATGCTGGTATATCGATCGACTAATGTCGAACTATCAATTATATTATTTCAATCATATCGTCACTCCTCTTAAATATTGATTTTTCATTTGTTTTTAAGTTATTCGTATTAATCTATCTTTATCTCTAACTTAGTATCGATTTGTCAATCATTTAACATTAAAGTATTGATCATTTAGTATCGATGTGTCAACCACCTAACATTGATGTGTTAACCATGCAATAGTGACATGTTGGCTGAGGTATCGATCGCTTGACTTCAAAATGTCAACAATATTACTTCACTCATGACAATACATTAGTGATCGTTTATATTAAAGCACATCACCATCCTGATCTTTATTTTTCTTAAGAGTTTTTCATACATATACACATATATATATATATAATTATAAAATCATTAGACTTAATTTGTTTATTCTTTTTTATCGAACCTTGGGTTTTGAGATAAAACTTGTGTAAGATAACTTTTGATTATTAACAATAGAATATTAAAAAAAATTAGAATTATATATTAAAATTATTACTGACTTGAGCATTAAATGAGTGTCACTGTAAGTGTCTTCCGTATAAAGTTTATGATAATGACTTCCATTATAACGTATCTATCTTAAGGAAGTTAGCTCAATAGAGCTTCCACGTTAGGATTCATCTTGGAGGTTTGAAAGAACAATCAAATCAAATTGATTCTTAAATGCGAGTTTTGAAAAGAACAACCAAGTCAAATTGACTCCATGGCTGACAATCAATGATCAAATTTAATACTATCATATATTAATTTCATTCTAGTACAAGAAATTTGACACTTGAATGTTTAAACGCTACAAAAATACTACTAAAATGTCTCGTCAACTCTATGTTAATCGAGTGCGTCACATTGTTGCTACATTGATATTAATTGCAATGCTCAATATTTATGGGAACCCGTCGTGTCTTAGTAACGTCTATCACAAAACTATTTTCGTAAAAATAATTTTTCATTAAGTATCGATAATTATCATATTCATGTATAATAGAGTGAAATACATTAGCTTACGATATACCTCACTCATTTCGACTCCTTTAGTTAATATCATTTCTTATGATTCTAATTTCGAGCATTATGAAAATATTTATTGTGTATGTCCTCGACTTAGTTTTGTAAAATATTTTACTGGATCAACTTGCTTGTCCAATACCACTCTTACGACAAAATCATCATATTGACTCTACAATATATCAACTCATCGATCAATCATTCAACGATAGGTGACTAAGAGAAGACCCAACAAACCAATCGATAATCGACAATGTCTGTTCAACGATGTCATGATACTCCTATTTCTTTCTATCTCTTCATTTTCTTTGATCCATTGATCGAAAATATGTCTTGTACATGTCAGTATGTCTCTTTGATGATGTGATATATAAATATCGAACGAGAGATTCCATTAATGACTTGCTCATATCGTATGCCTCTTTTGTAATATACCACGTATCACTAAACAAATGCTTCCCTATCGATTATCACTACTTTCAAGCTTGTGATAAGATAGTTATCGAAGAGTACGATACTCCTAACATTGAATAATATTTATTTTTATATATTAAAATTATTCTCATGAGATATATATAATCGAAAGGTTGATCGTCGATGAGAACGACGATCCATCCCGATTATGATGTCTCTCGATGTGTCACCCAATATTCGATGAAAGATTGAGGTTGAGGTAGTCCAACTCGATCCCTGTTGTACCTAAGTAAATAATATTTAAAGTAAAAATTAAATATTGAGCATTTATCTCTGAATGATCCATTTTATCTTCTATTATAAAATATTTTATTATTATTATAGATATGAAATGTATTCGGAACTCTCATGATTGATGTGATGGGATGCAATTCGAGTCCCATACAATTGTGTCGAAGGCATAATGCCCAATAAATAATCTGACGCTCTCGGATCCACACGTCGATCCGATAAGACGTTCGAGTCCAACTGTCCGAGTATTGGATCCTCCACGGATCAAACCCCTCATCAATCCGTTTCGAAAAGCCCATACGATATCAAGTCGATGCATCGCCATTGGTCGCCTCCATAAAAGTGATGGGGTCATATCATCGAATGGGTGCCGGCGGACGAGGACCGGATATGGCGGCGGTGCCGGTATCGCTGGACGCTCTCGCCTCCGGCGACTGCGCCAAGCTCGGTCCGTCCCTTCTCCTCCCCCTCGCTACCCTGTACGGACGCCGTTATGTTGTTTCTCGATTTGGCTTCTTGTCGGCCCTACTCCCTTTCTTGGTCTTCGTTCGTTCTTCCTTGCTTGCCTGCCGACGCCGCTGCCGCTTGGAGAGATCTTTACGGGGGTTATCTGGTTCTGTTTTTCAAACTCCTGATCTGTCCTCTCCCCTGCTGCTTCTTTCGCACGCCTCGCTGGATCCGATCACCGAGTTCTGTTTGATCTTCGTCTCCTTTCATGATATTTCTTCTTGATTTGTCTAACTGGGGTTTCTTGTTACGAACCTGCATGCTGTTGATTAGGACATTTATCATTTGTCGAGAAGAGGGACTTCTCGATCCCGGGGCTTCGAACAATGTTGATTGTTCATCTCGCATATCTAATCGTTCGCTTTCTTGTTTGTCGTCCTTGACTTCTATAAACGTCCAACGAAAAAGGGGGCGAGGAAGTTTCATGCTTATCTTAATTGTGGCAACTGAATTAAGATTCGTGCTTCATCGTCGACGCCAATTCTATCCGATGCAGGCAGTGGGGTCTGTTTGATGAACCCAACCTGGAGAGACGAGCAGCATCCCTCCTTCATCCGTTTCATTGCTTCATTCCTAAGTGCAAACTCATACCGTCTTAATTTCCTACCGATATCCCCTGTAAACGCCTCACTTGTTTCCAGCTTTGTAGAATATGCATTTATCTGTCAATCTGATGATGGAGAGGCTGTAGGACTTCATATTCAACAATGGCGGATTGTCAGTAGCATTCATTTTCGAAACAACTTGGGATCCTGATAAGGCTTCCGTCGTCTTTTCCAGGTAAATTAGAATTGCTTTTCATGTATTTGCAGAATAAGATGGTGGTGTTTAGGAGCTCCTTCCAATGCATTTATATGATGCTTTGTTTGATGCACAGAGTTGAAAGGCTGAAGGCTCAATTCAGGCTTTTATATGTAGTCATTGGTGTCCCAACGAGAGAGCAAAATGATTCTTTTAATCATTTATACTTCAAGTAGGCAATTCGGTTCTTTTGCCCTCCTCAAGTTTATTCCTGAGTTGAGTTTACATGAATGGTTTTTCTATGTTGGCATCAAAGGTATGGCGTAGAACTTGGTAGACCGACCTTTGTGCCGGTTCGCGATCCAGAGATGGGGTTTGAGAAGATTGTGAAGATAGCACATGCTCGTGGAGGTAAAACACTAACCCTTGGTGATGAGCTGAAGCATTCCATTTCGAGTTGTGCATACTCTGTTATATGGTAAATCTTCTGCCTTAGTATGTAAACGACAAGACGCGGTTGGTACGATGAGGAGCGAGGTAAGTTGGTCGACATTCTTAATCTCGAGCATTCTGTCATTCTGATACCAGCATGCCTAATCAGTGTTATTTTGGTATGGAAGCGTGAGAGAGCTGTGCAAGGAATGGATATGTTCCTTAGAGTGGTCACCTCCATCCCTGGCATCGACAATCATGATGCAAATGCGGTAACCTCTTTATACCCTTAGCGAAGCAACAAATATGCTTTAACCATAAGCCTTGGGATTATGCTTCAGCTTATGTTGATATGGAAAGGAGTTTCATCGATAAGAATCTCATAACCCGTAGCACACAATCTTAAATACATGTAACACCAGTTAAGATAATGTTGCTTTTGATTTTTGAGTTACGGCAACTGTCCTCTAACGTAATTTTGCAGCACTGATTTTTAATGAAATACATGTAACATCCTCATAAAATATCTCCATTGGTTTATTAATTTTGTGTAATCTCAGCTGTTGTTACTATGCTTCATTATGACATGATTATTATTTTTTACTTCGTGATGTTCTGCTTTGATTTCCATTTGATGACATTTTATGCTTTGATAAGGATCCTCTTGACATATATAT